CATTAAGGGAAGGGAAGAGACGGACAGACAGACAGAGAGAGAGAGAGAGAAAAAGAGAGAAAATAGGATGGGAGAACCGCCGGACAGATAAAAGAATTTACTGCCTTCTAGAGGCAAATTGTCCCGGCCGTAAAATAAGTTCCGGAGACTAGAAAAATACGCGTCGGGCGCGAAAAATGCAGTCGCCGAGTATTAAGCGCGTATCATCGCGCACCGGATTGCGGATGACGATGAACGATCTCGAAGCGGAAAACGCATTCGATATATATACACCTGACGTATACCCGTGCTCATTGTTCCTCTTTTTCGCTCTTTTTTTTTCCTTTTGTTTATTTACATTCGTATCGTAAATCTGCGCGCGGCGCATGCGAAGAGAGTGATAAGCAGAATTACTCCGACAAGTGATTTTGTTTATTTTAACGACGCGCGGGGCTCGCGCTTCAGAATGCGCCGCATGCGAAATAGCGCGCGCGCGCGATACACATATGCGTCGCGAATAAAAAATAACAACGCATCCTTTGTTATCTCCCGACACGACGAGACAGCGGCAACGTGCGTGATCACGTACCGTAGAGATTCGAGATTATGAGACAATTATTAAACAAAACTCCACCCTTCCTCTCTTTCCCTCTCTCGTCTCTACGATATTTGCCATATCGATTTACGCGAGTGTCGCTTCTGAATGAAATAAGTACAAGTCTAAAAAAGAATATACGTGAAAAAAGAAAATGTATTCGGCAAGAAGAGAAAATGGAAAAAAAGTATCGATAGAATTCGACACATTAATAATATAACGGTATAGAATTTAATCCCATCGAGTTTTGTGTAAAGTCGGAATCACATTTTTGTGTGATGGAAAATGAATTAAATTAAGCAAGCGAATCAGTTTTATTAATCAGTTTCTGTAAACTCGATTGAACCTCAAGATTCCAGCTTTATAAAAGTTTCTTTTCTCTCTTGTTTAAAATTGTAAAATTTATGCAGTACTCTCCTGAATCAATGCATTCTATTTTTATATCCTCGCGTACAAAGTTACAAAGTTTCGCGTATCCCGGAAAATGTCAGATCTTGCGCGAGCTATGACGAGACTCTCGTGACAAGCTAATAAATCTCGTCCGAGCGTAATTAAGTTAGCCGGGGGTGCTTTATATATTAAATTATGCGCGACGTTGCGCGCGATAAAAAAAAGTACTATCTTTGATTACTGTTTTGCATAGAGATTTGCCGAACGGGAGGAAGAAGAGGAGAAAGAGCAGAGAGCGGTGGGAAAGAGGAGAAGGGGAGGAGAGGTAGACGAAAACAGCGGGAAAATGCGCGGAGAGGGAGAGCAAAGCGGCCTGTATGCGTGGTATTGTTTTATTTAAACGAAGCCGTATATACGGGGGAGAGCGGCCGGCGCCGTTTTATCGGGTTTTATCGGAAATTGAGCCAATTATGGTACTTGAGTTAACGATCCATTGTAATACAGTTTCCCGAGCGTTAGCTATACCGATCCCGGAACGAGTTGCCCGTACGAGATTTCGTCGCGCAGATTGCTTTACACGATGATCGTCCAAGTCGTGAGTTCCAATTGGAAAACGGCTCCTCGGAGGACCCTTCGTCGTCGAAGGCCGAAGGAAACCGCCATCCGCGAAAGTGACGACGATAAGCGAGAAGTCGTGTTCTTTCGGTTTCGACCGGCGAACCGCGATAGCGAACGTTAACTCTCGGCCGTCGTACTTTGCCATCTGGGTTTGGTTCCACTGCCGCGATCGCGGTTCAAAGTTCAAACTCGATTTAACTTTGAAATCGGGTCCGCCGTTGACCGGTCGATGGCTATGTGCCGTCGTCGTCCCCGTCGCCGCCGCCGTTGTTTCCAGCAGGTGGGGGGGGGCTATAGCGTTACCGAGAATTTAAGCTCTCTAATTGTCGTGTCCCCCGTCGCTTCCCCGCGATATCGGCGGTCGTTCCGCGTGACATTTTTTTTTATGCACCCGCTCGCGCTAACGCGAGGCGAGTTTACGCGTTTAACGAGACGCGCGCGCCGATGCTCTCCTCGTTCTCTTCCTTTTTTTTTCCTTTCGCCGTCGCTGCGAATGAAATTTCCGCGATTCGCCGTGGTATGAAATATTTTGAATAATTCGTGACGCTTGTTGGCCAGAATGCAAATGCGCGTTATTTTTTTTTCGGCTATCTCTGTTATTTTAGGCTCGCTGTTACGCGGATTTTGCAGAGGTTTTCGCGAATGACGAATTTTCAGCGGGGCAAGGCTCGACGAAAGAAGGAGAGCCCTCCAGGGAGGAGGGGATATAGAGGTTAAACTATAAATATTCGATTCGCGCTGGTTGTAATTCTGGGTGGTGTCCGAAATTAAAAATTTTGGGTCATAATGAATAAATGATATCGTGTCAAATCGAGTATATTTTATATGTATATATATATGTACACGTAATATATTTTTGCATGTTCGATAGAGTTAAGTTTTTCAACTTGTTTTTTATGCCACATTTTAAAAATGTATCCGAGTTTCTCCTTTAAAATATTGGAAGACGATGAGAAATTTCTCTTGTAAATACACGATATGTAAATTCCGGAATGAATAACGAGGTGAAAACATTTGTACAAGTATGCTGGGTCACCCGATAACCGCATATTATCGAAAGATGTGCGCGGCAGCGATATGTTAATTCTTGCAAACGCACGCGATAATGATAATAATTATGCGAACGCAAGGGCGAGGTAATGTGTGCACCGGGGTCCGAGGTGCTTTAAAATAGTAAAATCACGGACGCGGGCATATCGCGGCAAGACAAATAACGTAAGATACGGTAATTGGTTGGTTATAAATAACCGCGAGTAGACGAGGTGACGTTCTCAGAAATCTTAATTACCCTTATACGAACGTCACGTGACAGTGCGCATTTAGCGGGCGGGTTGGCCGACCAGCTGACCTTAGGTAAGACGCGCTAAATCGCGTGGGTTCATTCCGGTGAAATACAATTGCGAAGGGGGTAATTTTCGAACGATAATCGCCGTTTCAAGCTGTCGATCCTCCCATTATCCTCCACCCTCATCCGTCGATTTACAAACGGTTAGTTACCCTCCGCAAATTCGCCGTCGTGAATAGATCCATCTACTATCTGTCTACGCACGAGAGCCTTGCCGATTGCAACGAATGTTTTTCATCTAATCACGAATCTGAACGAAATCTTGACGCGACATTTTGCTTGAAAATATGCTCTCTCGTCGAGAAAAAAACGTGGTTAAAATATTCGATTAATTTTTACGCCGAATAAGCACGACGAGAATACTCGACTAACTCGATAAGCTGAAAATCGCGGGTGATTTCGCGATTTCTTAAATAATAATTTCGAAATTTTGTTTACGCCGATCGATATTCACAGCGAGACTAGATTGAAGGAGCAATTCCCGAACGACAACGATTTGCTCGAAACCCGCCGACCGTTCCATTATCTCCAACAATTCGCAAACAGCGGTTATATGCCTCCGCAAATTCGCTATTACTTATTTCGTAGGTAAAGACGGTGGTTGGGTCGCGTGGCTCGCAATCGCGATCTCCAAATGTTTTAATTCAGTATACTTGAAACAAAGTTTTTTCTTCTCTTGATCGACAATAGTAAAAATACACTGCGATAGCGGATGATTGAATCGGCCAGCTAATTTCGAAGCGAAACATCGCAGATACGATGCTCATCGGTGTCGAGGACGTCGAGGACGAGAAATTTGGCGTTTCTTGTGACCGATTGTGTTATTTCAATTTATTCGAGCTTAACGAAAGAAAAAAGAGTCATCGACTCGCCTTTATGCAAATCCAGACGTGTCCAATTGAATTCCGTTTGATTTCTCGAGATTTCTCGAATTGTTGCCGATAACTCGGACATGATTGAATTATCTCGTATACTCGCGAATTTCTGTTTGTCGCGCGATTGAAGATATCCGTTATTTTCGTACGCGATTGTTATTCCCGGCGCTTTGCATGGATATACATAAATGCATGGCGTTTTGTGTAGATAGGTACGTAGGTAGGTACTAGCTTTTATTCGTCTAGTTTGTATTCTTTTTATTCCTCTCGTGTCACGTTGCATTTTGTCGCGCGCGAGCGAGTTAGACGAGCAACGCGCAAGAGTATGCATTTGTCGATATGCGATACATATATGTATGATATACGATCTGAATTTCCTCTTTCCCTCTTGTCGACGATTTAATCGGACGATTTTAGGATAATTGCGAAATTCGCGTCGGGTATTAGCGGGTTCGTTAATTTACTAATTCGCTTATCACATATAATGCGAGCGGCATCGAACTCGCTCGACGAAAATAGTCCAATCATTTTTCGAGTTTTAATTCACAAATTAGCACCGATTCATGCACCTTTATTGAACTTGGACAGAGCAATCGAAATATTCTCGGCACGCGTGTCGAAAAATGGATTTTGATATCTCTTATAAACGCTTTTCGTTCATGCGGATAGATTTCGTTATTTGTCGTAGCTCGACGCTGATTTGCAATAGAAACCATACTTTCTCTTCTATATTCACAGGGTATATTCTATATATCCAAAATTGGAAAATAATTTCGAGAAACGTAAATATGTAAATAGAGAAACTTTACAATTTTACATATAATCGTATCGCGGGTGATCAGATGATTTCAAAATGATTCGAATTATCTTTAAATTATTCTCCAATTCATGTAAATATATTTTCACGTAAAATTGCTTAAAATTGTTTCAATGAGAATCTTGTAGGACGCGTAGCTCGTCATTTGTAGAAAAATCTGCACGATTAGCGTCCTTCTTCTCTAGTCGGTAAACTCTTGTACAAATAATTTCAATGTTGAGAGATTCCACTCGGTTGTACGCTGCTTTATTTGATTATAATATATGCCCATTCAAACGCAGTGCGCCTCAGAGTATACAATTTACGCGAGAAATCCGTCAGTTTCCCTGAGAATACGGGTAGTTTATATGCGAGAGGTGTACAACAACGATCTCTTCGTACCTGAATGAATGAGCAGCGACGACAATACGAGGAGCCGTGGCAGTAAGATGACAAAGGCCGCGCGCAGCATTCTCGCTCCCGCGAGTGATTCCGGTTCTCCAAGATCGTCGGGGATAATCCGGCGATGATGATGTACTCGGCGCAACGCGGCGTGATGTGGCAAGCGAAAGATTGACCTATCTTCCAACTCCCGCGGCCTCGGGACGAGTCATCGCTCCGTCTCGCACAACGTGACCCCTGATAAACACTCGATCGCGACGAACGCACACTTGTCCGTCTCTCTCTCTGTTTTTTCTTTCTTTATTAAACGCGTCGGAAATCGATCCTTTCACGTTGGCCGGCCCGAGGGACGAACGCGAGCGCGAAACGCACGCGGTTTTGCCGCTCGCGCGTGAACCGAGAAGCGCGGGATGAAATTTAATCGACGAGGAGCACGATATCGATGACGACGACGAAGACGATGAAGACGACGAGGACGCGGACGACGATAATCGGCAACGACGACGCGCGCTTCAGGTATTCGCGGCGGCTCGCGGTGACACGCGACACATAATTTCCTATGCTGCCGCCCCTTGACTAATTGAAAATCTATATACGGTCGTGTTACACGGGTTTCCACCTTCCGCGGAAAGCAGTCGGTACTGCGGCATTGGCACCGGAGGAGGACGAGGCGCCGAGGCGCGCGCGAGAGGGTCGGAGCGGAGGGTTGGGCAGCGACGCGGGGAGAAAGGGAGAGATTGACAGAGGAAGAGAAACACAGAGAGACGGAGAAAGACGGAGAAAAAGAGAGAGAGAGAAATGCGACGGAGTCCGAGGAGGTGGTAGCGACGGCAGTGCTGCTGCTGCTGCTGCTACTGCTACTGCTGGTGCTGCTGCTGCTGCTGCTGGTACCGTTGCCGACGCCGCCGCCGAGTGGTGGTGGAGGTGATGGCAGTGGTTCTGCCGATGGTGGTGGTTGTGCCGATGGTGGTGGTTGTGCCGATGGTGGCGGTGATGCTCGGAGGAGGGTGGAAGACCACCTGGCAGCGCGGGGTGGAAAGAGCGCGAGGAGGACAGAACTAGCCGGAGGAGGTCGCGAGGGGGTTTCGGAGGGCAGGTGGACGAGGAGGAGGAGGAGGAGAAGGGCAGGGTGAGTGAGTTCGAGTTGGTTCCTGGGCGACTGCGCCGTTCTCCAAGTCGATGATCGCTGCAAAATCTTCCGTCTCTCTCTTTCTAGCGCGGGGCGCCTCTCTTTCTCCCTCGCTCCCTCCCTCCGTCTCCCCTCTCTCTCTCTCTCTCTCGGGGCATTCCCTACGTACGCGCGCGTTTCTCGCTTGCACGCTAGTGCGTCGTGTATATATATATATATATATATATATACTCGTACGTGTGTGTTTGCACGGAAGTGGGTGGAAGCGCGCTCGCGCATCCGTGCGGGCGCTAACGAAATTGGCGAAATACGCTCCGCTCGGAGGAGCGCGGACGGAGGCAGCGGTTCGTCCATCCGTCTGTCCCTTTCGAACCCGCCGGCGTATCGTCGTCGTCGTCCCTCTTTCGAGCGACCGCCACCGCACCGCCACCGCACCGCACCGCACCGCACCGCACCGCACCGCACCGCACCGCACCGCGACGTCGGGTCTTGGGGAAAAACGGCCGGCGGACGAGAGGATAACGCGGAAGTTAGTTGGCGATCGTCCGGGGCGATCTTCCGTACATCGGGCTTAATCCTGTGGCCCGGTAATAGGATCGACCGGCGATCCCTCTGGGAGTATCCTGGCGCGACTCTCGAGATTTTCGAATTTATGGGGGAATTGCGGGCGTACGTACGCTTCTTGGACGCCACCGTATGGAATATGTTTCTCGCCATAAATCCGAAATTCCGAGTGGCCCATACGACATCGCTCCATTGTCGGGCCGAGAGTGTAAGGAGAATCGTCCTCTCTGCGATTGTCCTGCGAGACCGCCCAATGACGATTGCCGGGGAGAGAAAGAATCTCCGCGACATGTATATTTTATTTAGAAATTAAATCTCCATTTCCCATTTTGAGTGGATTAAAATCGGATACTATAAACCTTGTGTTTAAACACTTGGATGACATTTAGCCATTGTATACATATATACAATGTCTTTTATTCAACACAACTTTTCGCTTAGTATGTATTTTACAAATCGACGCAACTTTAAATTACGAGTCTAACGATATCTGAAAAGCAGTTTGAGTACAATGCTATTGTTTCACGATGATGCGATATAATTTTCGAGATAAACCGTGAATGAGGTAAACAACATTATGTTAATGAATGTATAATTAGTTTACAATCTAATGATTCCGAAGCGCTGTGCGTTATGCAATATACTCGGAAAATCTCGAGATGAGTATTATTCGTTATTCGAACTACAAGAGAGAGAGAAAGAGAGAAAACTTGATATCAACTCGCTCGCACTGCGGCGTAATGGGCTTCCCCTACGCGTTACGTTGAAAAAGGCATAAAAAGGGTAAGAGGAATGGCGTTTCGTGCAGCCACTCGCGCACGGGAAGGAGCGTCTGGCCCCCGGTAGCGAAAGAATTTCTCTCGCATTTCGAGTTATTGCACTTGACAGGTTTCTCGCCCCCGCGCTAGCCCCGCCGCGTTACTTGGGGCCGAGTGCCGGTGAGCTTGCGGCGAGAAACGGGAAATGGGAGGATAAGGCGAAAGTTAGTTGGTGATCGTCCGTGCATCGAGCTTTAATCCTTTGTCCCGGTAACGGGATCCCGGCGTTAAATCCCCTCGGTCTCGCATCCGCGCGCGGAGGATCTTTCGCGTACTTGTCCAAATAAGGGCAGTAATTTAACACCGGAAGGAGGCGAGCGAGCGAGCGAGCGAGCGAACGAACGGTCATTTCCACCACCGCTATCCGAATCTACCGGACGCCGTAAAGTAAAATTCCGAATCCTCCGCTTCTCTCTCGATTGACTTTTTGCATTATTTTATCCTCCGCATCCAGCTTGCGTGTTTTTTTCGACTTTTAGTCGTTATAACTTTCACGATTATACGCGATGCGTGTCACGAATAATTGTTTAAAATTGGTCAAGGCTAAAATGGTGGTCGTTTTTCAATGCCGATGAATTTAAAATTTCATAAAATTTTGCCTCTTTCATTCGCGCGGTGGATTCTTGCACGTCTTTTTCCATTTTTTTTTATTTCGGTTATATATTATTCAGTTTTTGGCGATAGAGAATTTTCGCGATTGCTTCTTGAATAACGCGGGCGGCCTTCCAGCGCCGAAAGGAGCTTCGAAACGATCATTTTGACCGCCGATGAATTCCAAATGGGTAATCCCCTTTGGTTGCTTGATAGACTTTTGTGGTTTTTCGACTTTCCATCTACCCTGCTTTCTTACCGCCCTTCCGTTTTTCGCGGCTCCCTTGTCCAAATAACGCGGGCGGCTCTTTTAATACCGGACGGGTCGAAGCGACGAATTTGCCGTCGTGGAATTTTAAATGTGAATAATCCCGCTTTCTACTTGAGAGATTCCAACATTTTTCAGACTGTCCATGGCATCTTCGCGCTCTTTAATCTCGAACGGTAATAGGACGACTGTGCTATATAAATAGTTTTATTAAAAACAGGAAAGAAAAAGAAGAAAAAACTACCGCTGTACAGATAGATGAAAATTCTTTAATTTTTTTCTCATCAGACAAGATTGCATACACACGCGGAGATTCTACTACCTACAACCTTTATGAGCGATTTTCTGACTCTAGAGAGAATGGAAATTCTGTTAACCGTGAGAAACATAATATTGGCGCAAACGTTGTTCGAGGATCGAATCGGAGTCGCGTCTTCGTCGCGCTCTTCGCATAGTTACACGTAACATAAAGCAGGTGGAAGAGTGTTTCGCATAGTTTCTCGTTGCCACGAGATACAAGTCGTGATATAGAATCTCTTTCGCATCTGCGAAAGTTATTGCGCTCGGCAAGATCTCTCTTCCTGCGCAAAATAGTCTTATAACGCAAATTTTTGTCATTATACACACATATATACTCATTTGTTATTGTACATTTTTTTATTTTGTAATTCGGTTGAAATAAAGAGAAGGCAAAGTTATATACGAGGGGACGCGCTTGATAACCGAGACGATTTTCTGGCAATTATGAAACTAACAAAGTTTAATTCGATATCAGAGTCTATCGCGTGACGTTTCGCCTCATTTAAAAATGTTCCATTTTTTTTACATGGATTTCGCAATAGTTTATAAAAGGGCAATTTTAATATCTTGAAGCTCTCTCATCCATTCGCTTAAAAATAAAAGAGGAAAAATATTCTCAGAACGTGAGACACATCGTATATATTCTCTCAATATTTCATTACGTGCCGTCGAGCATTATTAAGACTCCAACAAATAGATCTCTTCGTTCTCTGTTTTTCTCGATAAAAGAAAAATCACGTCGCAGGAGGGGAGCGACTAAAGTGATTGCGGAACCCAATATGCATCTACGAACGATCGAACCGCGAATTCCTCTGTAGAGTGTTAGGACGCGTTCGGAATTTCGTTAGTCGCTGCGTCGATTAAATAAATTTCTCAGCAGCGGCCAGCAAGCGGAGGAACGAAAAAACGCGGGGAAAACATTAAAGAGTTTCCTTCACACTCGGGAGTTTCCGCAACTCGATAGCTTTCTCGCCTTGGCGAGCTCTGACCGGCTCTCCTCTTCTTTGGCCGACCTACGCTGCACAGGATAAACGGCCAGTGGATGAGACGATAACGTGAAAGTTACTTGGTGATCGTGTAAGGCAATCGTCCGTGTATCGTGCTTAATCCTCTGGCTCTCCGGTAACAGGATCAGCCGAGGAAGAAGAAACTTTTTGGAAGCGCGCGCGCGCCGATTAAATGCATCCGCGTATTTGCAGCCGACGATACTTGCTGGCCGCCCCGTCAGGTGAATAATCGTTGTTTTATCAAGCAAGTTTGTAAACTGGCCGAGAAGTCAACAACGTTACTCGAGTAGCGGAAGGAAATGTCAAACGTGCGTAATTGATTAAACGCGTTTTAATAAATTGGCGAGAGCGAAACGAGAATGACGACCTGTTGAAGTGACGCTGTGTCGATTAATTCCGGAGCCTTCTTTTTTGCCATCCGTTGCTCGCTCGCTCGTTGGGCGGCGATTTTTGCATTTAATTATGCGCATTAAAATGCAGGAAGCGCGTACGGGCACTGTATTAGAGACTAAGTCTATTATACAGCAATCGAGAATAGTCGGGCGCAAACGTGTCGATTTTATATTCTGCAAAATGAGCACCAATCGATATTTGAAAACCATTTGATGAAATGATCGCCGCCGAGTGGATTAACCGGAAGTTCGGAGTGCGCAGCCAATGGTAATTACAATAGATCGCTCGCATTTGGCTCTCCATTTATGGATGGATAACTCTGTAACGTTCTCAAATTTCTGACAACTCCGGAGTGGATTACGGTTAGGACGCTTTCGCGAAAGAGAAAAGCGATTTGGGCAATACGCGTTATTAATAATATAACAAAGCGATTTTATTCACACATTTTTCGGATGGATAAAATTGACAAAAGTTGAAAAAATATGGTGAAAATTTCAACAACTCTTTATAATTAAAATTAGAAAAATAAAAATTGAAATTTATAAAACATAAAAAGTATTTAAAACATTCAACTATTTCATCTCTCTCTTTTATCCTTGATAATTCTTTATCAATACTTGACATTTTTTTTTATTATACATTCTGTATACCATCGTGATGCATTTTAATAATTGAATTTATAAAAAGTATATCGGATATATATATAAAACTTGCAACAATTATTGATATTTATTCGTGATTCTTGTTCAACTCGACGATAAAATTTCGTCTCCCTCTGCGGGTCGATACAATGTCGTTCGGGCCCCGGGCAGAAAATTTCGCGCTGATAAATATTGCATAAATATAAGACATAAAAAATGCAGGCGAAGGAAGCAGCGGGTTGAGGAATTTCCTTCACGTTCCGAGATGCCGGGCGATGCTGCTTTCGACGGCGCCAGACGGCGTTGTAACTCTTCGACCGACATTACCGTGGAGCCCTGCAAGAAACGCAACGCGGACCCCCTGCGCTGCCAGACGGAACGATCCCGCATATCGATCTTAATTCCGCAGTCTGGCGAGCAGATAAGCGCCCGGATGCTTAGCATTCAGGCGATTTGAATTTTTAGCCGGCTAGCCGAATTTAGTCGTTTCTCCCCTCCCCTCTACTCCGTACCGTAGAAATCGCCATACGATTTGCCATACGCCCTAGAACTCGTCCTTGCAAATACGTTATTCAGACGAGAATCCTCAAATACCAGAGCCGGATCGAGCCATCTTGAGACACGAGACCGACGCGCATCCTTTGTCATACATATGAGAAGAAATCGATAAAAGAGCAGACAAGATTTTTATTGCCTATGAAATGAGAAGAGCTTTGGAGGGAGAAGGAAACTCGAATCAACTTTTTTTCTTTACTCTTTCATTTTGATTTATTTTAATTTATTTAATTCGGAGAGAGATTTAATTATTACAAATTTGTGTCAATGTACAATACCGTTTTAAAGAGAGCTTTCGACCATGACGTCATTATCGAATGTATTATTTAATTGCAAATTTCTTCGTCAATTCGAGCAGAGATGCGCGGCATAAAAAATGTAACGGGTAATCAAAGATATGTATGTGCCGACATCTTTTCCCTCTCGTTCCTCTCGTGCCGCTTTTATGTCGCTATGATGTCCATCGCACGTGGAGAAACGGGTCGCGGACGGACGTGACGGCCGGTATGAAAGTTAGATGGCTATCGTCTGGGCCGAATTTTTTTATTTTATGCGCATCGTATTCGTCCGGTTGGCTCGTATCAAAATTAACACGCGAACCGATGAAAGTTTCCGCATCG